ATGGCCATTGAGATGATAATGATTATGTTAAGCTGTGTATATTAGACCCCTGCTGTCCGCCTTGGCCTGCTACTTTGGAGTTCTCGTGGGGATTCCTGAAGAGTTCCCATTGGTTGGGGAAGTGCCTGAGGAGGGATTTCCGGTTGGTGGTTGCTGGAGGAGCCTCGTGGGTGGCGTTCGGGAGAGTTCCCGGGGAGCGTGTGTGGAGTGTGCTGGTGGAGTTCAGAAATAAAGTTTGTTCCTGCTTCAGTGGCTCATGATTTGTGCCCAGCCAGACTGCAGCATCCCATGGGGAAAGCTGGTGTGAGACTTTGTCTCCTGATGCTAGACATTCACCTTAGGCAGTTGGAAACTGAGGGTCCTGGAGTAGATGGTAAAGTGGAGGCTCCTGAGAAGAGCGTGGCCCCCAGAGATCTGGGAACGCTCCTTTCCCTCAACTGCCTTGGAAGATCCATGCTACGTCAAAGTTCTCTCCTACATGAATAGCATTTATAGAGAGATTCAGTTCTCAAGAAGAAAACTTCTTCATGAGTTGTGAACTGAAGCGAGAAAAGTCTCAGGGAGTCAGTTCTCTCAGCTGTTTCCCCCCACCCCCAACCAAAGTTTTCAATTGGCAGAAAAAAAAATATTGCTCTTTTGTTAAAAGGAAAATTTAAGAATCTTTGTGACCCAAGCATACCTCTTAATGGCTTCCTTTAAGCTATAGTCAGGACATTCATGTGTTTGGTACCAACCTAGCTTGCTGAGGAAGCCTGTCCTTAGTTCTGACTCGGCTGTGGATGCTTTATTCTTATACACAGCAGCCCCCACCAAGCCCTTCTCACATAGGTCTTACTCCATTGACTCAGCCATCGGGGTGCTGGAGGTTTGGGTGTTGGACCTCACTCTAATTACTGATTCAAGGAATAGCACAGTAGGTTTCCATGTTTATGAAATAGTGATGAGATAAATAATTCTTGTACTAGACAATTCATTTCTCTGAACTGGAAACAAAGGAGGAAGTTGTTCTCAAACATGTGTTCAAGCCAAACCAGAGAAAACTATTTACATGGCATGTATATTGTGTTAGGTACAAGTCATCCAGAGGTGCTCAGGTTATATGCAAATACTACACCATTATAAATAAAGGACTGGATCATCTGCAGGTTTTGGTATCTGCAAGGGGTTGCCCTGTAGATGGTTGTATTTTCTTTTTTAAAAAAGAAACTGTTATTGAACTGAGGGGAGATTTCATTATATTGACGACTTTCAATTCCTGTCTGATTCAATAAAATCACTGAAGGATAAGACAGTTTCTTTTGTTGAGGTGCCAAAGCTATTGTCCCATGGGAGATAGTTTTGTAAAACAGCCTTCTAAAAACAAATTTCAGTATTTAGGAAAGTGAAAAGGTAAAATAAACATCAGTGCAGGCTTTCTTTTAACTGTGGAACCTTCTTTTAATTTCAAAACAAGGATATCTTTGCCATTACATATGCATACCATCTATAAACTCTAAAAAGCATAATTAAACCACATTATTTTATTACAAATGAAAACTATACATAACCATTTAAAAGGTATAAACTTCCTAAAATAAACATTATTTATAAACATTTAAAAATATACCATTTCATGAACATAATTTATGTAAAATATGAGGACATTTTATATATACTCAAATAAATTATTTTTTCACAAAGCTTTGTTGGAAGGTAAAAATAGCATTTAGTTCTGTTTACTGGTGTTTATTAAGAAAAATTAAATGTTTTTGTTGGGTTAATTTTATACTGCTATTGAGATAGTATAATGCTAGAATGTACTTTCACTTGTACTTAAAGTGAGTTAATGTGACATATATTGAGAAAAGATAAGGGATTTACAACAACTGGCATTCAGTGTTCCTTACCTCTCTAATAACAAGACTGTGAGAATTAAAATTTTGATTGAAAGAGAACTGAATTTTCTCAAGTGCCTATTATATATTGGACATGATACCAGTGCTTTCCGTGTATTGGCTTAATAGTTTTAAAAATAGGTGTTAACTTGATTTCATGTTGCTAAATCGAAAGGGTTTTTATAAACATTCTGTAGTCTGAACTAAAAATAAAATCATTAACCATTGACATAAGAGTCAATTAGAAGTCAAAATAAAACCGTTAACTTCACAGAACTAGGAAAAGCTTTCAATTTGTCTTGTGCTCACCTAACTTTATAATCTTTAACAACGCATGTACTAATATTCATATAATAAATCCTAAGACATCTATATGATGACAATTAAAACATATCTATTGAAATACATACATATATAAAACAACTATAGAAGAATAATATAGTATTAATATAGGAATCCAGCATTTTACTCTTCCATAGATAATATCTTCTGATTTTGGGAAAGAAATCAATTTTTGTGTTAGATCTGCAGCAATATTTTAATGTTTTTTAGTGCATATGCCCACCATTGATTTTTATAAAAAGAGGTTTTCAAATAGTTCATTGTTTCTCCACATACTCAACACATGAAATTGTTCTCAGTCTTTCTCCTGGGCATTTATGTCGACATCAGTTCATTTTTCAATCCAGGTACACGTGGATCCCTGTGTTACAGGGACTTTTGACCTTGGCACAATGTACCAAGGGCAGAATTGGCATTGAAGTGGTCAAGTATCAGGTGACATTTGGTAAATGTCTGAAACTTAAATTCATTAGAGTGGAGTAACACCACAGCCTCGGGTTAAATGTCAAGAAAAATGCTATTAATTTCCTCACCAAGAAGGTGTCCTGGAGAAACCAATAAAGTTTTCAATCTAAAAAGAAGAATGCTAAAATAATTTCTACAATTTTTTCACATATTACCTTGTTTGAAGAAACTTTTCATACAAACTGTGTTCATAGCTTATATAGCTGATGTACAGGTACAGCGAACCAGAAATGCACAGAGTAAACACATTTAGCCTGAGGTATCAACCCATGAATTTTCAAAAATTTAGAATGCCTGGAGTTGTGCTCAACACTAAACTACACTGAAAACTCTAAAGCATTTTAAGACTTTGCAGTCATCCCAGGTCATCACAGTGAATGTCAATCACAGTTCAGCAGAACTGTGGAAATGCTGAAGTCAGTTTAATAGAATTCTGAAAAGCACAGGTTACTATTATTACCCTGGGTATGCTTGAGCTGGCTCAAAAACGAAAAACAAAACTGATAATGTTTGATGTTAGGGCAGAAAAAAATCCAGTCAACCTAAAATTTTCTTTTCAAATGCAACTTTTTGATCAAGATTTTTGTTCTGTTTTCAGAGAAATAAGTTTAGTCTAGAACTAAGATAGGTAATGTCTTTTTAATAAATCAAGAGTAAGGGGAAATCTGTCTATAAACACAACAACCAAAAACTTATTTTTACCTAGAATCTGGAATGAGATAGAAAAATTGTATGGAAGTTTTAATATGCAGAAGATATTCCCTGTAGTAGCCTTTGAGGTCTTCATAATTTTCAAGGAAGTTCACTCTCTCCTGCTCTCCCCAAATGCTTTTTTTTCTTTCTTTCTTTTTTTTTTTTTTTACTGTTTCTTATTTATTTATTTATTTATTTATATATAATAGTGGAATGCATTACAACTCTTACTACATATATAGAGCTCAATTTTTCATATCTCTGGCTGTATACATAGTATAGTCACACAAGTTCATGTCCTCATACATGTACTTTGTAATGACCATCACATTCCACCATCATTAATTACCCCATGCCCCCTCCTTTCCCCTCCCACCCCTCTGCCCTATCTAGAGTTCATCTATTCCTCCCATGCTCCCCCTCCCTATCCCACTATGAATCAGCCTCCTTATATCAAAGAAAACATTCAGCATTTGGTTTTTGGGGATTGGCTAACTTCACTTAGCATTATCTTCTCTAACCCCATCAATAAGCTGCATGGAAAACATGGTCAGGATGAATTTAGCAGAAAAAGACAGTCCAGCACTTGTTGTGGTAGGATAGGTCTATTTTGAGAAGTTAGTAACTGATTACAATTTCCTTATTAAGGGTGAAAGTAAAATTTCAAGAGAATCATTAGCATGATTTCTTCCAATTTTTCAAAAAGATTTTTCTAGTTGTTTTAAAACAGTCTATGGAAAACTTACCTTTTAGGGATAAAACGTTAGTAAAAAAAAAAAAGGCACAGTATGATCCTAAAATAATATAGATTTTACCAAAAAAATGTCTTTGTCAATAAGAAATATAACCTTTGGGAAAATGATTAAAGAAAGAAATGAAATGAATATAAGTCACTCCAAGGCTGATTTACTTTTACTTCTACAGAAAGTCTATTTTGTCTTATGTCATCAGGGTCTCTGTTAAAAGAACCTATGGCAACAATCATTTCTGTGTTTTTATGAAAAAAGAATAAAACTTGTGTTTCCTTTTCCAAAGGTCAAGTATTCTATTCCTTCCTATAGTCTTCCCTCTGTAATTGGTAATGAAGTCATATGATATTTGGAAAAAAAATGTAATTCATAAACCCTTCATGGGAGTGAGGGTGTTTTGTACATTTTAGCTTAGGAAGGAATGGAGTCCAAAGCAGGCCTCTTTTTTTTTCTTTAACCCTTTGCCCATTTACTCTCTAGTTTTAAAAGAAGGAAGTTGCAGAAGGGAGCTCAGAGCACCAGAGTTCTCTCTTCTCAGTTTTAATAATTTGAGATTATGATTCATCAAAGCCTGGTGATTGGTACTCTGTTTATTAGAACATAGTTAACTTTATGAATTACTGTGAATCTAAGAATAGTTAGAAGTGAAGATCCACCTAGCAGAGTCAAATCCATTGTGACCAGAAGAAAAAGATTATTATGAGACAAATATAACTCCTGGACTTCTTTTAAGCTTAAGGGATATTTCAAAGTTTTCAGCAGTGAAAACATGCAGAAATCCTTGGGAGGAATATCAGGTCTTGACTTTCAAATTTCATGGAAGTTGGACTTACACATCTAAGGTACCAGAACTTTAGAAACACTAACTTTCCCTGAAGTCCTTTCGAGAATAAATCTTCTTTCTCCTCTTCAAGTATCTAATGTTGGTTACAATTTAGGTTTTATGGGGACTCCGATCTTCAGTCTTGCTAAATAAGGTGACATCATCATCATATCCTGGGGTCGAACTTTCTAAGTTCTCTAGTAAAACGTAACTGTTCTCGTGGCCATTTGGAGAAAGAATGTCTTTCTTAGCAGAGGATGTCAGTTCACTCCAGGTAATGTCAGTATTTTTAAAAGCATGTAGAAGGAAAATGCCATTGATAATGGTGAAGAACCCACTCAGGGTCCCGATGACATCTCCAGCCTTCATGCCGTACCACTCCTGGAATAAGATGGCGGAGCAAGTCACTACCATGGAGGTGAAGAAGACATAATAGATGGGAGTCACCAGAGACGTATTAAAAGTATCCAGTGCTTTGTTGAGATAGTTAATCTGTGTAGTGACTGAAAGCACAAGTACAGCCAGCAAAACAAAGACCAGGGGATTCTTGTAAACTGGCTTCCATTCTAGTAGTTCCTTGATGGCAATTCCCAGGCCCTTGACAGAAGAAACTGAAAATGCTCCAATCAAAGAACAGACTGATATATAGACCAATATATTGGTCTGTCCTTTCCTGGGGGCCACAATCAAAATCAGCACCAAGGAGATCACAGTTATGATCACAGCAAAGGAAACAAATCCTGTCAGGAAGAGAACAGAATTAGACTTCAGAAAATCTAACAGAATCATGGTCTTTCTTGTTAGTCCTGAATTTGAGAGCCTAGATAGTTTAGAAATAGAAGTGAGATTAAATTAAAAGTAGCATCTAATTGCATTATTCACATTATTTTATAAAGGACTTTTATAAATATATTATTTGAATCTCACCGATAACACTGTGAGGTAGGGCAAGTATTGTCCCTTTGATTTTTATATGGGGAAGAAATGGCAAAACTTTGAGTTTAACGATAAATCTTTTGCCCCTACTCTTCCTCTCTCTCTTTTTCATTGTATAGAGGGGAAGAATGAATACAAAAAATAAACTGTGTTCCTTTCAGAAGACTTGTAACAAGCAAAATTTTTTGTATTTCACAACCCACGTGAAGACTTGTAGGAAGCCTATTATAATATTGTTACAAATATCATTTGATGAAGAAGGAAAAGGGAGCAGACTTTAAGTGCTTCTTTATGCTGAATCACAGACCTGGATCTCTCAATTTCATTTCCATGTCATGCAAAGACGTGACTTCCTCTTCTTGTGGGGCATGGATAACCATCACAGTTGACCCCAATATACTTAATATGCAGCCCATTTTCCCATGAATGTTCAAATGCTCATTTAAAAAATAGGAAGACAAGATGGCACTGTTGGGAGAGAGAAAAGCAAAATCACTATAGTTGAATTGCCTTTTGATTCTATAGTAGCTCAGAATTCCAGTCAGTACCTGCCATTCTGTATTCCAATAAATTGGCTTGAAACATACTAAATGACACTGAAAAATCTGAGTTAGTTTTAAACTCGGAAGTGATGGTCAATTAATTCTGCTTTGTTGCTTTTATATCTGAAGAGTTATCACAGACTTTTATATTCCTGTCAACATCCCTGACCTTCTAAGAGTTCCGATCAATTCATTTTCAATTGTAACATCTCCTGTAAAGCCAAGCAAAGGCAAAGGTCTTTTATGTCTTACTGGTACTATACAGATTGAATATCCCTATCTGAAATACTTAAGATTAGAAATGCTTCCAATTCTACTTATTTCCATATTTTGGAATCTTGCATATACGAAATGAGATCTCTTGGGGGAGGAGACCCAAATCTAAACATAAAATTCATTTGTGTTCCATATACATCTAGTATGCATAGGCTGGAGGGAATTTTATACAATATTTTGGGTGTGCCTACATTTTTACTGCAACCCATCTGATGAGGTCACATGTGGAATTTTCTACTTGTGGCATCATGTCCATGCTTGAAAAGTTTCAAATTCTGGAGCATTGTGGATTCTGGATTTTTTGGACTAAAGATGCTCAACCAGTACACTTAAATTATGTGTGCCCATGAAAATTTCAAAGAAGGATTATATATTAAGAAGAATTACTCTGCTTAGGGCTGATACGTAGCTAGTAAACACCAGTACAACTGTGGAGATTGTAAAAATATTGAAATACTTCCTTATTACCTGCTACTGCCTTAGCACTTTCACCCAGCCAATACTCTCAATGCTTTAATTGTTATTAGTGCCTTGACCTCAGGAAGCTTCAGATTGGCACTACCATGATGATATTAGAGTATGCCATCCTGTTGCTCCACCAGTAGGCCTAATGGGGGCTTCAGCATGTCAGTCTCCTTCCTCTGACGCTCTAGCACTTGCACAAATGAAATTAATGGTGCCCATCTTCTCCCAAGCCCATGGGCAAATACTAGGCTTGCCTAGAGTCTCCCTCATGTGGCCACTTGTGGGACTGCAACCCCAGTGAAAAAAGACCAGTGTTTTAAGTGCTTTATGTGTATTGACTTTTTTTTTTTTTTTTTTTATTGTTGGTCGTTCAAAACATTACATAGTTCTTAATATATCATATTTCACAGTTTGATTCAAGTGGGTTATGAACTCCCAATTTTACCCCGTATACAGATTACTGTATCACATCAGTTAATTGTCGTATAACAATCCATTAAAGATGATGAAGATAAATGTCGAGGCCAAATCATAAATTTTATAGTAAATGTTGATAATGAATGAAAATGAAATGATAGTTATGAAATAAAAGAGTGTATGGGCTCACTGGATCCATTCATTTGGGATAATAATACAGATCACCTTAGAAACATCAGAGCCACATACTACAAAAGATAAAAATCATTCCTGTTTCCAGCACAAAAAGAATATACCAGGTCTACAAACAGAAGTATAAAGCAGACAACACAGCATTTTAGTGAGAATGCTATGCCTTTTAAAGTCTATGCTATGCCCAAATGCTATGCCTTTTAAAGTCCTCTATAGTCATTCACCACTATGACAACAGAAAGAATTAAAAGGACTCTGTAAATGTATTCAGGTCAGAGTTAAAAGAGTAGAAAAATACAAAACTCTGTTAGGCTTCACTGAATCATCACAAAGCAAGCTTACTCTCTCATTGTTTTTTAAATAACAATATGATAATCTATTTCTTCCTATTTTTTGGAGTCTTCTCAATTTAATTTGTGATTGCTTTTTTTTTTTTTTTTTTTTTTTTTTAGGCAAGAATGCTTTTCCCCTGGTGATGGGAATCAAATCCAAGGCCTTGCACAGTGTTCTACTTTCAACTACATCCACAGTCCAAGAAAAATCATTTATTTAATCCATATTTTACAAATGAGGAAACTAAGATTAAGTGACTTGTTCAAAGCTTCTCTGGGACCCCAGAAATTATTTTGAGTCTTTTATGCTTTCAGAGCCCAGGTTAGTCTAATCCTTTTTTTTTTTTTTGAGGTATATTCAGCAATGTTTCTTATGGTTTAACTGTACCATGTTATTAAATACCTATAGAAGCCAAGCTCCTTTTTTTTTTTTTTAAAGAGAGGAGAGAGAGAGAGAGAGAGAGAGAGAGAGAGAGAGAGAGAGAGAGAGAGAGANTTAGTTCTCAGCGGACACAACATCTTTGTTGGTATGTGGTGCTGAGGATCGAACCCGGGCCGCACGCATGCCAGGCGAGCGCGCTACCGCTTGAGCCACATCCCCAGCCCCCAAGCTCCTTATTGCTACCTACCTTATAAGAACACTCAGAGCTCCCAGTGGGGTGACCAAGGTGGCAGGTGCAAATGCGTAAGCTGCAAAATTTGCAGCCTCTCCTGCTCCCACTAGAAAGCAAGTTGAAGTATTAATATATGAGATGAATTTATTTATCAGAAGAGAAAAACAAATGACTCTCACAAAACAGTGGACTTTCATCTCAAAGACACTCAAAGATCTAGCTAAATCGAATGATTTAATTTTTTTATGGACAGTGGGAAAAGATTAATATTAAGGGAGTCAGATAAACGCAATATACCTGGTGATATAAACTCTACTACTGGTGACAAATGAATACACATTCCAAATGATTTTAAGTAGAATTAATTTTAGTTATTTCAGTCCTGAAAACATATTTGGTCACTCTGATGAAATCTAATAGAGGTGGCTTTGGAATAATCTGAGAGTTATTCCATTTGCTCAAGAACATCTACTTGACATTCTTGAATATCTCTTTGTGGCAAATTAAGAACAACAATGACAACAACAATCTGTAAAATTAGAAGTCTTTGTGGAGAGCTAGTGTCAACACAGGGGAAAGCTAAGAAATCCCTACCGCAGGCCTATGACATCAGGCATCTTGAATTACAGATGATCTATAGCAAGTAACAGAAGCTCAGTAGCTCAGGAAGATCCAAGCAGCTGTTTTAAAGTCCTAAGGATGTACTCCAGAATGTCATCTTTTCCTTATCTGAGGACTCTAGACTTCCATGAGGCAGTGTGGTGCAAACAATTCCTGGAGTGAGGGAAATCCCTCCTAGAGCTGGGCTCTTGTCTTGGAGCCAAGTTATTCTCACAGATCATAACTGGACACTTGCCCAGAGAATGTAGTATTTCATGCTGGCAAACGACACCAAGCAAATGGTTGTTGTGGAGAGATAAAATAACACTACTGCAGACTAGTGCGAGTACCTACTTTTTCTTTTTCCCTTTCTTTGGCTGCTTTGCTAACCCTTTTCACTCCTTCCCCCAATCTAAAGGAGGATCCTGCATTAAGAAAGCACTATAAACAACTCTAAAATTACAGAGCAATTAGAAGACTATTCTAGCAAAAAAAACCAAATTATGGCATTTTTCTCAGAACACTAAACTTTTTTGGAATACTTTAAATTGCTTATTTTCTCATCTTTATGGACAGCATTCCAGGAAAACATTGACTCCATGATTAAAGTACCATGTTTGTCACTAGATGCAATCTCTAATGTATGCTTTTCTCTCTTAATACCAGCATCAACGTTTTTACATTGTGAGAGTACAATAGTAAATGCAGCCATAAAATAGTCTCCTTCTATTCTCATTCTAAAGTGTGAGTACAGGTTGAGGAGATACAAGAAAGAAAAACAAGAGAATCATTCACATATCTATCTGGAATCTTCTCAGTATAGTCCTTGTTAACTTTGATTCAACTAAAGTAGGGAAATGGATGTGCAAGAATCTTAAAAACCAAAAGGGTGGCATGCCTGTAATCCCAGTGGCTTGGGAAGATGAGGCAGGAGGATGGGGAGTTCAAAGCCAGCCTCAGCAAAAGCAAGGTGCTAAGCAACTCAGTGAGACCCTGTCTCTAAATAAAATACAAAATAGGGCTGGGGATGTGGCTCAGTGGCTGAGTGCCCATTAGTTCAATCTCTGGTAACCGCCCCCCACAAAATACCAAAAGGGCTACACAAACTTAAATATGTTTTATTCATCACCTTTTGGATTCCATGCCCCCACCCCTTTTTAAGGAAATGGACCCAAGTTCCTTCTTACAAGGAGCTTGCAAATAATGAAATACTTGAAATATGTTACTTGGTTTGGGGAAATATAGGGAACCATGAAGACTTCTGACTTTGAAGAAAGTGATTAGTGAGTGGTGTGAAGCTACCATTCATGGTGTCCTTTCTTTGGAGGTTTCAAGCTTGGGATTTAAGAAAGTTCAGAGAAGGCAAGAGCAAGGGTGAAACAGGGGAAGGGGTGGAGGGGGACAAGTCTTCCTTCTGTGAGGACATTACACTAGCATTTAGAAAGCGCCTTCACAGCTGCCAAGTCTCCTTTGATTCTGAAAGCAAGTCTGGGAGAAGTTGTGCCAACCACTTCCATCTTCTCCCCCATTTTTTCCAGTGTCAACAAAGGATCCCTCAATTTATCCATGTTTGGTCCTTGCAAGGAAAATGTACCCATTCCTGAGAAATATGCAGCTAGGATAGTCATGGATTCACATAAGGAGCTGGGAAAACATGGATGGAAAGCACCTTTCTCACTTTGCATGAAAAAAATAAATCAGAAATTTGTGAGCTTATATTAATATTTCAAATATCAACTTTCCCCTTTGTGTTCCAGGGCAGTATTGAGAGGAGGGGGTGGTGAGTAAAAAATAATCCATATCTTACACACATGGATACCCACATCGTAACAGTAATGGTCATTGTTATTACTATTCTGTATAAGGCAATACATTATATCCACACATAACTTTTAGACTTAAATTCCATCCTTGCCAGGAAGAAAAATTAATTTTGAAAAATTCCATGTAATGGATTTATCATTTTACAAGTAAACACGATTCTCTCCATTAAGAACTTACTTGATAGTAATCCTGCCCACCACACCCATTCCTTGAGGTAAGAATGTCCACCTTGTCCTGGGAAAAACACCAAAAATAAAAATTAGGTTCCAAATTAGAGAAAGAAGGGTAGAACAATTGACAATGGGTAAAGACACTCGATTAAAAAAAAAAAACATAAAAAAAAAGAAAAAGTCAAAATCTAAAATCTTTGAGCTTACTAACTTGGTCATTTCCAAAGGTCTTTTGAAACTTTCCATTATATCACTTCATTTTTTTATTTCTACAGAAAGCTTTTTTTGTTTGTTTGTTTTGGTAGGAAATTTTAGTCATCAGGTCCATTGCATTTATCTCAGGCAGAGGTATGGACATTGAATGTGACATACTCTGAATATTTTGTTTTGGCCATGGTTTAAATTTAAAACAAAAAATCCTAAATTGTAAATGACCTTTTGAGGAAGAGGATGCTTGACATGAAAGCTTTTGAAGTTTGGATCAGTCCATAAAAGGAAACAAGCATTAGGCAGATGGACTCCACTTATTCTTTACCTTAGCATAATGAAGTTGAGCTTCTGTCTAAAGCTATCTATAAGGACAAAAAACTGTCCTCAAGAATTCAGTCACCTTCCTGTGACCTGAAGACACTGTTGTATGTTTGCTATAGAAAATGGAATTTTCTCAATTTTAATTTGCCTAACTCCCTGAATTGGACCTTGATGACTTTGTTATAATTAAACAATAGGACATGTATGCTATAAATTGCAAAAGCAGTTAACCATGGTTATTTAGAATTTTCTCCTTATAAATTTCGCAAATGAAAAAATTAGAATCATCTTACAATATTGAACCTTATTTGCATAGTTAGTATCTTCTGGGTCCTAGTAAAATAATATTTACTTATGTATGTTTATTGACGATTCACACTTCTTCTGTTTTCATTTGCATTTCTGATTTTGTGTTTCCTGTCTATGAGCTTTGCCTATTTTCTGTTAGGGCACTAATTTTCTTGTTGACTGCAAGTCACTGTTTTTATATTATAGAACCTAACTACTTTTTGTCAATAATTTCATAATTCCCCCTTATTGATAAATCCTTTGCTCTGGAGTTACAGCTATGGTATTTTCACTGTGTGCACATGTATTTTTTTCCTTTTTTTCTCTTTTCTTTTTTTTTTTGCCAAACCAGAAAATCTCTTCCTTTACATAAAATAGGTTCGTTGTCATTTTTATGCTTATAAAAAGGACTTCTTTTAGGTTTTCAAAAAATTATTTTAAATTTAACCCTAAACAATCTGGAATTTATTTAGCTGAATAGTATAAAGTAGAACTCTCACATTTTTCTCCTCTACTTTTTTCCACTTGATGTGAATATTCTTAATTTAATAATTCATTGTGCTTACTTGTTGGAAATATCACTTTTAAAAATCATATATTAGAATTTGATATGTAATTGAGTCCACCTGTAAATTTTCAATAATCTTTTATTACTGTATCTATTTTAATGCTAATACTAAATTGTTTTATATACTAATATAGTATGTTTTTGTTTTATGAAGGTACAAATATCCTCTCAATAGTACTGTTTCAGAAACTTGTTTGCATAATTTGTACTAATTTATTTTTCCATTTGGACCTTAGAAAAATATTTAATTTAGGACTTACATTTGATGCAAAGGAATAGAAGATTCATGATTTAAAGGATAGTCTGGTTGTGCTTATGTAGCATCTGAAATGTCAGTATAAATGGTGGACTAATTCTATTGCTATCCATTCAGAGATGAAGAAATATTTATCAGGTATCAAATGTTGTGCAAAGGAAGGTTCCTCTCTTGTTCCTCTCTACCACCAATAAACAGGTAAACCTCTTAACAATAAGTAAATAAGCAATACACACATAACTCCAAGAAAGGAAACTCTTATGCAATGATGGAGAGCAGCAGGGGACGCAGGTGGGGAGACCATCCCAGACAGGATGGTCCAGGATGGCCTTTTCCGGGTAGTGAAAATTCAAGCCAAAGTCTGGAGGGTGAGTCAGCTCCGTGGGCAGGAAGCAGAGAGTTCCAGACCAATGAAAAAGACCTCAGGGTGGGAAAGAGGCTGGTCTATTCCACTCTGTGTAGGAGGTCAGAGACTGTCAGGGAGACAGCTGGCTCAATCAAGGACACACAGGCTTAGATAAACGGAGTCAATGATCATGACTACAGCATTGTGGTCTCATGATGGAATTATTTCTATAATTAGACACTTGAATTCATTATTTGCATGGGTTCCTTACCTGCTCTAGTAACACCCTTATTGGCCAGTTGCAAGAGTCCCTTCTTTTTCAAAATGAAGCTAGAGCCAATAAAAATGCTAGAACATATGGCCAGTAGCAAGCCCACATAAAGATTGTATTTGTTTTCTACATTTGCTGAAATGCTCCAGTTGGTTGTGCTGGAATTCAGGTTTCTGTAAAGGATAGAAGAAGCTTGCAGCTGCGACACATTTGTGATCTCACACCAAGACTGGGAGGAGTTCTGACAGACCACAGATAGCACATAGCCTGGAAAAAGGAAAGAGAAATGTCAACAATAAAAGGGAAACATACTAGTGCTTTCTGCAAGAAACATAGACTTGAGTGGACAGTATAAAAATACTTTTTTTCTTTTTTTTTTTTAACTGCAAGTAGGGCAGTACTCAACAGGTGGTCTACAGAACTATAGACATTGCTGATTTTGTTTGAACATGTTCTGAAAAATGATTTAAAATTGTTTAGTTGTCATCATTTAAAAATGAGAGATTTTATATGAAAGTTTGGAATCCTTGTAAGTTGGAAGATCTGGCAATACTTGGGTTTTTGCTCCACCAGATCACAACATGCTGGAGCTGTGAGTGGTTGTGTAGAACCAACTTGGCCTCAACAACTCATCCCAGTCTCCCAAAGTCACTTCACTGCTTCACATAACCAGCCTGTCTCTCAGAAAGCAGGGGCTGTGACCCAGGAATATAGAAAAGGGCACAGCAATCTCACTGGTCTATAAATTACCCCATAACAGGATATTCAGTTAACTCATTTGGTGGAGTATGAATTGTGCATTTGAGAAAACATGTGTTAAGGTAGATTTAACTTTGCTTACAACTTTTCCTGAAAAAAAAAATGACTGTTTTTAGGACTACGAATCCAGCTTCTCCAAAATAAAGCTGAATCTAATAGAAAAAATGAACTAAACATGAATAGGCTTTTTTAAGAATAAGATTCAAATAAACATGCAAAGCCAATGAACCAGACCTATTATTTTAAATGTCTTGAAAATTTGAAGTTAAACACTAAAATACAGCATGAAAAGACTTACTATATATGAGAAATTTTTATAATCTCTTTGCCACTTGAACAGATACCAATAAGGTGATGCTGTCACTAAATGTTCTGTTTTTCAGGGGTTTTTTTTCCTTTCAAAAAAAAGGAAAATTCCGAGTTTGAGTACTCTATACAAAAAAGGGCAAAGGAAGATTATTAAGTATAATTTTAGAATTGAATCAAAAACTCAGTTTTATGTCTCAAAAATCTGAAGAAGGCATATGAGCAACAACAAAAGAGATCAAATAATGTCTTAGCAACAAAACTTCCATAAGTGGATCTGGCATCTCTAGCAAAGCATCATGAAGGCATCTGAATATTACTACAAACAAAGTTAGTAAACAACTATCTGGAAAATGGAAAAATAAATAATTAAATTCAAGGGTTGGGTTTTTTGTTTGTTTGTTTGTTTTGCTTTGTTTTTGCACCAGAGATTGAATCCAGGGGCGTTTAACCACTGAGCCACATCCCCAGCCCCTTTTATATTTTAGTTAGAGACAGGGTCTTGCTAAGTTTATTAAGGCCTTGCTAAATTGTTGAGGCTAGCTTTGAACATGCAGTCCTCCTGCCTCAGCCTCCCAAGCCTCTGGGATTACAGGCATGTGCCACCACACTCAGCCTTTAATCTTCTTTTGTAACAGGGTTTCACTAAGTTGCTGAGGCCAGCCTTGAATTTGCAATCCTTATGCCTCAGCCTCCCCAGTAGCTGGGATTACAGGTGTACACCACAGTACCTGGCAAATTCAAGGTTTTCATGACTACTATTTCATAGTAATTTGGAAATTAACTTTTCTTAAGAGATACAGAATAAATTCTGAGTCAAAACTTCTAAATATTCATAGCAGCTCAATTCACAGTAGCTAAACTATGGAAGCAAATGTGGAAGATGCCCTTTAATAGATGAATAGATAAAGGAACTGTGGTATCTATACACAATGGAATGTTACTCAGCATTAAAAAAGAATAAAATTATGGCATTTGCAGATAAATGGACGGAGTTGGAGAATATCATGCTAAGCAAAGTAATTAATATCTAATTAAAATAATGGGTAGGGGAGAGGCATGGGAAAAATGGAGGAACTTTGGGCAAAGGGTAGGGTGGGTAGGAAGGGTACATGGGAGCAGCAAAGATGGTGGACTGAGATGGACATCATTACCCTAGGTACAGGTATGACTGCACATATGATGTTACACTATATCATGTACAACCATAGAAATGTAAAGTTGTGCAGGAATTGTGCACAATGAATCAAAATGCATTCTGCTGTCATGTGTACCTAATTAAAGTAAATTAATCAACTTAGAAAAACAAAAACTTCTAAATACTCAAAGGATAATTAATTATATTTTTTCAGGGATATTCTGTAATACTGGAGAATACACATGTAGGTTATTTGTAGTCTTGTTCTGCCCACTGTTCATCTCATTTAAATCTCAGGAATGGAAATGAGTGCGTATATTTTTGTTAGTAAGAATTTTGATTACATTCATTCCTGAAAAAACATCTGAATTGGCTTTCCAGTGAATTCCACGGCTGTATTTGTGTCATTTACTATGTAGTTAACATAACCATTTCAAAACTTCCATCTCTGAAACCAGGGTGGGTGGATCTCATTCCAGGGAAACAATATTCCTTCTAAGTTGTTGACATAGCAAAATGTTTCTGACATTTTAGGGGGTGTGGGGGCAGAGGGTGATAAGGGAGAGCAAATCATCTTTGTTGCATTTTCCAAGTTCTCATTTTTAAGTGGCAGACATGAATGTTCTGAGTTTCATGATAGGACAAGTAAAATCTTGTCAGATTGCAGATCCTAATACTTGGATTGCTCTATATTTGGGGCATATGTCAGGCAGAGAGCCCAGAGCAGATGTGACTGAAGGAGGGACGGAGTGAATGGTGGATTGATGGGTGTGCAGTGGCACAGAGGAGAGATGGCAGAAGTAGGGTGTGTGGGCAGAGAGTTCAGTGTTTTAGAGGAATCAAAGCTATCTCAAATCAAGGTTGGCTTCTGAAGATCTGAGCAAGCAAAGTCCTATTGCAGGGAGTTTAATCCAGACTTTATTTAGCTTAGAAAGACAGTCTATTATATTAGTTGTTTATTTTAATAGACAGTTTCAATAGCCCTCTATAGTGACAGGAAATGTAGCTCAGTAGTAGAAAACTTTTTTTTTTTTTTGCACCAGAGATTGAATCCAGGGGCATTTAACCACTGAGCCACATCCCTAGCCCTTTTTATGTTTTAGTTAGAGTCTTACTAAGTTCCTTAGGGCCTTGCTAAATTGCTGAGGCTGGCTTTAAGTATAATTTTGGAATTGAATTTATACTCCTTTCAGGAGGGAGCACATATAACTTCATTAATTTTATTATTTTTCTCAATATTGAGTAATTATTTGAATGAACAGAGGCCTAAAGGCTGGTACCACATGACTATGGCAAAACTGACACTATAATCTCTCTGATATTGACAGCTCTAGTTAAAACTATGCACTTAATCATGGACCTCAGAATGAAATCAGGAGTACTGAGCCAGGTGCTGGTAGAGTGCATATTGCCTGTGTCTTGAGAAAAGCAGAGCTTTGGCAGGACTCTTTCAGCCCCCTCCTGAAACACCACCCTCAAGAACCAGCTAATCCTAAGAGGCCTTTTGTTTTGACATCTGGAACAGGGTTACAAGCTCAGCCACAACCCACTGCAAATCAGGCCCTTGGAGCTGGGACACACTCCAGCCCTGACCATGATGATGCTATGGTAGACTATTTCCTTCAGAAGTAGCATGAATTTCCCAGGCTGGCATTTAACCAGCAATCGTCCTACCTGATTCTTCTGAGTAGCTGAGATTACAGGTGTACATCTCCATGGATTAAGATTTGTTTTTAAAATATGCTTGGGACCAAATCTAGTGCTTTGCACATTCTAAGAAAGTGCTCTACTACTGAGATACATCTCCTGTTAATTTCATTTCTTGTCAACAGCCTGATACTTACATTTTAAATTGGATTTAAGAACTTTTTTGGATAAACTTAGATGATTATGTTTTGATTTTTCCTCTATTATCTCGAGATCGATATTTCGGAATGAAACTTTTTACGCTAATGAAGACTCTTTGATGTGTTCTGTTTGTAAATAACCATTTTTAAAGAAAATATAGTCTTCTATATAGTTGTATAGGAGTCTCTTTGTTTTTTTCAATCTGTTCTTTTGAAAGTTGGGAGTGAATCATTCAAATAAATGGCTATAGGTGTACTTTTCAGACTAACAAATATAAGATTTATCACTACCTTAATTTTTATACTTATTGGATTCTTCAATGTCAGTGAATAATCTCTCTCCACTTGAAACTACTGGGTAATAAATAGTAAGGAAATACATGTCAGTTATAAATAAAAACAATTCAATATACACCAAGTACATCAACCACACAATTTAAGAATTAAAACATTACCCTCAGAGGTAACAACTATGCTGATTTTCTCTTAAACATTCCTTTGCTTTTAAAATGATTTTTTCTATTTAATACATCAAAACAGTTTAGTTTTACCTCTTTTGTACCTCATGAAAATGAAATTGTGTAGAATGTATTATCTGGTGACTTGCTTCTTTGGGGGTTCATCATTGTTGATACTTGTGGCTGCAAAGTTTGTTTTTTCTCCCACTATTTTATAGACTTCTACAGTATGATTAACCCACAAGTAATTTTTCTATTTTATAACTGGTGGACATTTAGGTAATTTATGATGTTCTGCTTTTACAAAGAGTCTTGCTAACACTCTCATGTGATGTTGAATCAAAAAATTGATAAGTTTTTGATCCTACAAAATAGCATTTCATATGGCACAAATTAATATGTGCCTTCTATGAGCAGGTGTAATAGGTTATACACATGCCTTTAAAATTTGAAAATAGAGTTAGATATTCTATAGGACTATATCTTTCCCCACCTTAAGAGCTCTTAAGCAGTTTGACACAATATTTCTACAGACACCTTCATAATTTTGTAGTTTGAACATAATCTATCTTTGCTCCCAGAGTTGTTTACAATCTCATTGACTCAAACATGTTGCTGTTGGACCAATTCTCAACTTATAGGCACTGATAGCTAGAAGATATTTTAAAGAGACCGAAATTTGGTTTCTAGGATGTCTATGATTGCATCAAACTACATTTAATTTTTTTTGTATTTGTAGATGGATAACATACCTTTATT